GGTGCCAGGCGGGTGAGCAGGCGGGTGCCCGGCGGGTGCCAGGCGGGCGAGCATGTGGTCCTGTGGCCCTAGGTCTGGTGTGTCTCATCAACTGCGCCATCGGCATGGTGTTCACCTTGGAGGCCGGCAACTACTGGTTCGACATCTTCAACGACTACGCGGCCACGCTGTCCCTGCTGCTTATTGTCTTGGTGGAGACGGTGGCCGTGTGCTACGTGTTCGGGCTGAAGAGGTGAGGAGGCCTCGCCCCACGGGAAGCGACCCTTTCCTGTGGGCACCGCGCGCCCTTTGAGCTCGGCATCTTCCAGGCCTTGCAGCTGCCCCCGGTCACAGCTGGTTTCTGCCTCACTGTCCCCCCAGCTCGCCTGCAGCCTCCGTCTCCCCTGTTTCCTGCGCTCTTGCTTTTCACTGAAGGGCAGTGGCCCACGGGCCCTGCTGAACCCCCGCGGCCCCGGGGGCAGGGAATCCTGCCTCCAGGCGCTGGCTGCTCTGACCCCCGGCCAACGCCAGCATTTTTCAAGCTCGCTGACCAAAGTCCAGTTGATAACTCAGACCTTGGAAGTTTGGCAGATTCAGGATGAAGGCTCTAAGCCCTGGGGCACGCACAGCCCTGGAGTTTTAAATCTCCCAGCTGCGGGAATGTGTCGCCGGGCTGAGAACCACGGGTGGGGAGCAGCTTTCAGACCTGGATGTGCACAGGCCCCCGCTGGTTGGGTAGGTGCAGGGGGGGCTCAAGCTCCAGGTGAGTCTGGGGCCGACACTCTGAGAACCACTCCGTGTGGTCCCAGAGCAGCAGCAGCAGGGAGCTTGTTGGAATGCAGGGTCTCAGGCCCCCGAGCCCCTGAATCACACTCACTTATTAACACGTCCGAGGCCCATTACGTTTTGGGAACAGCTGCTTGAACATGAGCCTGCTAGGAAGGCTGTGCCAAGCTGTTCCCACCCCAGTCTTTTATAATCTCCTAAACCGATGCAGAGGCGGGTCGGGGGACCAGCTGGGACATTCTGGGAACCACTATGTCCTTGGAAGTCATTCTGAGGGATTTCCATGATCACATAATTTCAAGACACAAGTTAAAGCCAAATTCATTTGCCATAGGGCTTCTCAAACCCTTGAAGACAGTTGTGAATCTCAAAGAGGAGTTGTGATTTGCAGTATTTCCGAACGTTTGTGGTCAAGGAATGCCTTCTAACCCGCCCGCACTCCTCCCCGCAGCTAGTAACAGTGTGAGGACTTCAGTGTCAGAGTGACCGGCTCACCCCATTTTCCCAGGAAAGAAGGGTCCCCTGAGACGCTGGGGCTTTCGGTGCTAAACCCAGGGAAGTCCCGGGTAACCTGGGACAAATTGGTCACCTTGGAAATGCCTTTCTAGAGGGAGAAAAAGATTGGTCACCTGAGAGGGTGGGTGTTTCAGGATCAAGAGAGAAGGCTGGGGACAGAGGGACAGAACCTAGGGCCCACTGGAGGCGCTGGAGAGGCCACAGGTCCATCCAAAGCCGGTGTTGGTAAGTTGTGGGGGTGGAGAGAGAAACCCAAGGTGCCCTGGGGATTCCGTCAGCAGTCAGAGCTGGGAACGACCAGCAGAGGGCAGGCTTTCTGGCGGGACAGCGCAGTCTGGCGGCCACTTTGCAACAGTGCTGTGCAGCTTTTTTCCCTGCAGCCAGCTCTTCCCGCCTTTCTCTGTCCAGGAGAGTGGGGAGCAGGGGAGGTAAAGGGACAAGGGGACCCGACACTTTCTGCCATGTGTGGTCTTGAGAGTCACAGGTGTTCCCGTTGTGCACGTGAGTGTTCGTGGAGCCTAAGGTCCTGCTAGGTCAGCAGGAGCATGGGGGCAGGTGGGTCCCCACAGGCTCACGTGGGAACTCAGGACAGGCCTCGAGTCCAAGCGAGGCAGGCGGCTGCGGCTGCAGCTGGTGAGCCTCACCCCGCCCCACCCCGCTTTCTTCACGGCTGCCTCTCCCATCATGGGGAGCAGGTTTAGAGCGCTTGGACCAGGCCTTCCCACAAATCACAGGTACCTTCCCCCCGTGAAACGGGGAGACGGCTGGGTCAGCATTTCCCAAAGTGCTGAGGATACTTTCTGTACTTATTTGTGTGTATATTTTAAAATATATGATTAGTCCATCAAACCCATAGAAAAATGGATGCTCTTATGCTATTGCTAAACTTCAGCAAAAGAGTCAGTTTAAAGAAAAGGAAAGAAAGCCCGCAGACGTGACTGAACACACTGGTGGTCTGCGGGCAACTGCACCTGGGCAGCTCCGACGGCCGGGCCACCTCCAGCTGCCAGGCCTCGACGCTTAGTCCCAGGTCTGGCTCTCGGTCCGCCCAGCCCAGAAAACCTGCTGTGGTTTCAGGGGACGAAAGAGATTCCCCTCTGGGGGTGTTTCTAACGGACAGTAGAGCGGCTGGCAGACACCAGGTGGGAGGGGTGGGCCAGAGCTGCCCTCGGGTGTCCCCTGGCATTGAGACTGGCTGGACAGATGTCCCGATACCTTTCCCACCGTTGCCGGGAGCTGCCCTCTGGTCTCCACCAGCAGCCTCCGTCTGAAGGTGGGCGCCAGGAAGATGTCTTCCGATGTCCACGTCTCTGTGGGGTGGTCGCTTTGCCCCCGCTCTGTGGCTGCCTCGGCCCTTCTACCCTCCCACACCCCACACCCCGTCCCCAGGAGGAACCAGGGCGGTTGGGTTCAGATCTCAGCGGAGCCAGAACAGAGTCTCCCTAAGGGAAGCGGGCCGTGTGACCATCCGGCTTCCTCCCGTCTCCCGAGCAGGTTTGAGAGTGACCTCCGGGCCATGACGGGCCGCGCGCTGAACTGGTACTGGAAGGTGATGTGGGCCGGCGTGAGCCCGCTGCTCATCGTGAGCCTCCTGCTCTTCTACCTGAGCGACTACATCCTCACGGGCACCCTGCAGTACCAGGCCTGGGACGCCTCGCAGGTACCTGCCGGCTCCCCCACAGCACAGCCCTTAGTTTTTTGAAACCGAGGGACTTCAGCCGGCGTGTGGGCAGATTATCTGTCACAACAGGGCCGCGTCACCAGGTATTTCAAAATTCTCGGCAAAGCCTGGCTCTGAGCTTTAGAACACGTGCTGCAGTAAACAGGGTGAGATCCCCCAGAACTCCCGGTGGCCTTCCTCCTGGGGGCCGGGAAAATGCAGCCACAAAGGCCCTCTGACTCCAGCCACTCAGGCCCCCTTAGGAAAGGCTGAGCAGGCCTGGAGACGGGGCGCTGAGCCCAGGCGGAGCGGCCCTGAGCCCTGCGGGGACTCATCTTAACACTTGAGCCGCTGGATGCTGCGGAGGCCTGGCTCTGGGTGTGGCAGAGACAGGACAGGCTCGCTCAGGGCACTGCCCAGCAGCCCGAAGGGCCACCTCCTGGTTGTGTCAGTATTTTAACAGCCTGCACAGCCCCGGTTGTCCTTACACAGACACTGTCATAGAAAAAACTTGGCCAGTTTGGACTTCTTCTCCCATGGGTGGAAGACACTGTCTTTTCGCACATAGTGTGTGTGGTGTGAGCAGAGCGGGGTGTGAAGGGCCCAGCTCCACGCAAACATGTGACAGGCTGAAAGCACCCCCCCTGGGCCTGCAGATGTCCCACCTGGGAGGTTCCTTCCACCGACGCTCAGCTTCTCCTTCCAGGGCCAGCTTGTGACCAAGGATTACCCCACGTACGCGCTGGTTGTCATCGGGCTGCTGGTGGCCTCCTCCACCATGTGCATTCCCCTGGTGGCTCTGGGGACTTTTGTCATGCGCCGCCTCAAGAAGGGAGACACGGTGCCTGTGGCCTGAGAGCCGGGCTCCCAAGGCCGCCGTCGCTGCTCAATTTCAGCTACTAGTTCCACGTGGAACCCTCTCGGCCGCTTTGCAAGTATCTACTCCGGATGCACTGAGCCCGTGGTCTTCCTGAGTCTGGAAAGAACTAGAAGGGGTGGGGGGAAAAGACCCCACCCCCAGGAGAGCCCACACCTGCCACGAAGCGGCCGCTCTGCCCTCTGCCTCCCCCCAAGGTCGCCCAGCTGTCTCCCTGTCACCAGAGGCAGGGTTTCCAAGGCCAGCCTAGAAGACAATGGCTTTCTTGAGTCTAGGGAAGTCCTAGGATTAGCGCCCACTGTGAGCTGACATTCGACTATCATTTTTATGGAATAAAATTTAAGCCATTTTTTTCCCTAAAGACATTCCAAAATATTAGAGGCCCATCGTTTTCAGGTCCATTTGGAAAGCAGTGTTTTCAGTTCGCCGAGGGCAGGCCTGAGCGTCACTGGCACGGACTGAGCCCTCTTTTGACAGAGCACGTAGGCGGTCGCCGTGCTCTCCAGTGACCTGCCGTGGAGAAGCCCTCTACTGGGGACCCACCGGGGGGCACTTTTCTCTGACTCGAAGTCTCTCACAGTAGGTCCAGGCCAGTCCTCTCTACAGAAATCGCCCCAAACGATCTCTGCAGTTCGCAGCCCCAAAGGCCTTCGGATGGTTATGCCAGGAGCCCACGCAGACGGCCCCCCCCCCCCC